TAAATAAGAATGTGGGTTTGAAAATGTGAAGCTGGATGTGGGATTCAGGGCAAAAAGGAATCCTGTCAATGAGAATAAGCTCCCCTGCTGTTGCCAGGGGTCTGTCATGTTAGTTTGTGGGTGTTACTGTTTAGCAGGTGGTTCATTTCACTGAACTGAAAGTTGTAGGTAAAGTCTTTGTGATTTAGTATATGATTTTCCTGTATTAAAAAATGTGCAGACTATTTTGTTTGCTTTGATAGTCTCAGCAAGGGACATTGTTCTGAGGGTGTTCCTGTGAGCTTTACTTCAGAGACATCAGGTACAGAGGTGGTGCACGTTGTGTTTAACAAGGCAAACCCTCACAGGTGAGCTGAGGAAGGCGCTTTAGCTCCTTTCCTACACTCACCTCAGGTGACTTTTAGGAGCTCTTCTGCCCAGACACTCTTTAAAAAAAAGTACAACTCTGTCAAGTTTGAATGTTATTCCAGAGGATTGCTCAAGTGCTTTTTTGGCCAGTAGCAATCTGTGGAGATTTGTCAGAGTTCAAAACTGGCATTATTTTGCAGCCAGGTCCATCAGTTCTGATTAGAGGTGAGTGCACCATCCTGGTACCCGATTGCAGCATGCTCTGTTGAACCCAGCTGGGTGGGAAGCAAACACACTGCTGACCTCACTGCTCTTTCAGGTTTAATTGTTGAGCAAAGCTGCTCTCATTTTCTGCTAAGAACCTGCAAAAACTTGGGATGCAGTCCATATTTCTCAAACTGCAGCCTTCCCGTTACAGTGGTCGGTGAACTGTGTTCGTAATTGCTGTGCTGTTGGATTGTGCAATCTCCTCTTCTGGGTTGGCCAGAGCTGGGCTGCCGAAGGGGCAGGTTTTTCGTGTGATGCACCTTGCACGAACCAAGGGTCAGGGGCAGGTGGAGTGGAGGGGCCAGAGAGCTCTGTAAAATCCAGACAGGGGGTGATGAGGATAGAGGAAGTACATGGAATAAGCACAGCACAGTGGTTCCTCTGGTTCTGGCCTGATGCTCACTTCTGTTACTTACCTTGGTAACGCATCTTTCGGTTTATTTTTATCACAGAGGGTTGTTTGTACAGAAGTTTGAACACATTAAAAGTTTGCTCCTGTGGGTGCCTTGTCGCTGAATTAGCAGGTGTTTGTAAACAGCAGTGTCATCTGTTTTGATTAGAAAAAGGTATTCTTGTTTTGATCTTCATAGCTGGAGATCAAATCCCGTGGAAAGCTCGTCATGTCAAAAATAAAAACTTTTTAATTGCTTCTCATGGCTGTTATTTAATACATGCATCCAACTGAGATTGTTTCCATTTTGGAATTATGCATAGTACAGCATAGTGGGCACAGTTCTGATTCCATACAGTTCTTACATACTGGCTGTTCTCAAAGTGTGTAAGCACAGCAGTTGTTCCTTACAGGAGGATATTTTATGTACTTCCATAGTAGATACCGCTCTGGTATTGTGGATGTATTTTATCAGAAAATAAATGCTGCTATGATAGTTGGATTTTCCTAAGGCTTACAGAAAAACCTCCGAGGTTTTACTTCTTTTTAAAGGAGCAAGGGCAGTATTGGACTTCTGTAACAAGCAGCAGTTTATTTGTTGTTCAGAATAACTGATTTAACCATTGGCTACTGGATATTGAACCACTGGCTACCTAGCTATTGCCAGGACCTGGATAAAGCTCCTTAGCAATAAGGTGTTAAAGGCAGCAATTGATAACTTATCGGGCATAATTTAAGAAAGAAAAAGACAAATAGTCTCATTCAGGTACAGGGTGAATTAATTAATGAGTGGCAGAGGCAGGCATTAATGATCAGGCTAGATCTTGAAGCGTGTGCATTCTTAAAAATAGGCAACAAGAGACCTCATCCCTGAAATCGGGCTTGTGTTGTTTCAGGAGTGGATGTCAGCATGAATACACATCTCAAAGCAGTGAAAATGACACTGAAGAACAGAGAACCCGTACAGCTGGAGACGCTGAGTATTCGAGGGAACAACATCCGCTACTTCATTCTGCCGGACAGTTTGCCTCTGGATACTTTGCTAGTGGACGTTGAACCAAAAGTCAAATCCAAGAAAAGAGAAGCAGGTTAGTTTGTGTTTTCCTATGTTTGTTCTGCCTTTTTATGCATTTCAGTCCTCTGAACCTGAAGATATCTGATTCGAGTGTCTTTACATCTACATTTGGCATCTAATTCCTTCCTCTTTGAGGGTTTGATACTACACTGGCTTTATCTGCCTTTCCCACCTCAAACAGTGCTAAATGGTTCACTGAAATTTGATGGTGGATAAAAATGGTATCTCTGAGAACTGGATTTGAGAGACTTGAAAACCTGAGGGAGTTTAGGCTGTATATTCCATTGAGCAGATCTCTAGCTTTGGTTCCCAGTAGTGTTCCACGCTGCTCTTCCTGGAACTTTTTTCTCAAAAAACTGTTGAACAAAAACCTTTTCCTTAGAAGCCTAACATTATAGAGAGTAATTCAGTTTTAATGCACACTACTGAAGATTAATATGCAGTAAACCCCAGAATATCTGCAGCAGTATGCGTTTTGCCCAGCAGTTAATCTGTGCGTTTTTAAAATAGTAAGCTGTAAGTGAAAGTTAATTGTGCTCTAAAGTAATGTCGTGCCCTTTCTCCTGCAATTAGAGTGTAAGTATTTGGGTCTGCAGTGTGTTATGCTTTAGTGTGCTCCCCTTTCTGAGGTGGTGTGAGGAGCCCTCGGGTGCATCACCAAGTGCAGGCACTGCAGCTGCCGCTGTCTCTATAGAGAATATGGGTAAAGCTCCCAAGGGGGTTTTGCTCCTCTCACATCCATTAAAAACAATCTGACCACATGGAGAAATGAATGTGGTTGGAAGGCTTTTTTTCCTGAACCCCACAGTGTGACGTGAACATCACTACTTCCTGTTCACTGTGAGGGGAGCGGCTGTGACAGCCCCAGTTACCTCTGTTTGATGCTCCCTGCATCCACAGTGTGTGGAAGCACTCTGACTGCAGCTGTGCTGTGCTGCCTTAATCTGTAAATGCCCTTCAGCTTCAAGAGTGTAAAACCCACGGTCTGTCCTTGGCAAGTGGAATTGTCAGTGGAAGGTGGGATGTGCTTGGGTGTGGCACATGTGCCTGGGGTCCAGGTGTGCTGGCACTTAGCAAATGCAGCTCTCTACTGATGCCCGTAGCTGCTGCCATCATTTAGTCAGGTGTTGACACTTGCACAGAAATTACACAGTCAGTCTATTATCAGCAAAAAAAATGACACCTTGCTTCTGTGGAATTTGCCCTGTGCCTCTACTCTTTCTGTCTTTGTGACCTACATGCCAGAATAATCCACGGCCTTCTCCGGGAAGGGGGTGTGTCTCTTACGGAGCCACCCATTTCTGCAGAGGTTTTAGTATCTTTGTGAGCCCTGCACTCACAAACATGTTTGAAATGAACCACTAATTTCTAAAGTTTGTAGGGTGGCCTTGCAACTGGGTGGGTCAAGCCATATTTCTTTAGGAGAAACAGGTGCAATGGCACGTTATCACTGTGTGGATCACGCGACCTTCAGCAGTTGTGGCCTCAATTACCCTGTGCTTCTGTCTTCCCTTCACCAATTAAATAACAGTAATTAAAAGTGGGGGCACACAGCCAAGACCTTGGCCCCATAGTCACGTTTTAAATGGGCAGAGGTATCACTGAAAATAGGAGCTGTTTGGCAGTGGGATCCCTTCAAAATGCTGCCCTTCCACATGGTGCCTGAGAAAGGGTGAGCTTGAGAATTACACCATGTTAAAACTCACCTTTCCCCCACACAGAGTATTTCATAAACCACAATGAGAGCTGTGACCAAAAAAAAAAAAATCTTTTCCACTGTAATGAATACTAACAAAGTACTCTTGTCTTGCATACACTTTTTCTGATCCCTTCTGGAAAATGAGATTTTCTGAAAACGAAAAAGAGGAGGAATCCTAGTTCCCTGTCAGACCTAGCCTAGCACTTGGGAGCAGCCAGCTGTTACATCCCCTTGTTTTCTGCAGTGAAGCCAAGGACAGACAGTAGCCTGGGGAAGTTGTATGCTGAAAAACCCAGTACCAAAGATGAAATATTGCCTGAAACTTACTGAGCATTAACAGACTTAATATCTGACTTAACGTCTCATCACAGGGAAGCAGTGTGATGTTTATGCTCAATACAGAATGTTTTAATCAAAACAAAAGTATTCCTGGGTCTCATTTGATTTATCCTTTTTCTTTCACCTGCTAAGTTGCTGGAAGAGGCCGTGGCAGAGGCCGTGGCAGAGGCCGAGGTCGTGGGAGAGGAAGAGGAGGCCCAAGACGATAATTTCTCATCATGCAACTGTTACCAAATTCTGGGCAATTTCGGATATTTTTTTGTACAGGTCTTGTTTATGGTATCCATTTTTAATAAACAGAAATGTGAAAAGGTCGTCTTTCCTTTGTTAGCAGAGCCTGGGGAGGGAGGTGTGTCCTATTTCCAGGGGCTGTTACAGACTGAGTGGGTCTTGTTGGTGTTGGTTGTCACTGTCAAGATTTTGCCCACCCCTGAAGGCTGTATAATTGCCTCTTACTTTTTGCCCCAGAACTAGAGACTTGCGTTGTTGTGCTTTAACAATGTTTGAAATTAATCCTTCTTTTGTAAGGCACCTCCGTCTTCTAACGGTTACATAGTTAAGACACTGTATCGATAAAGAACCCCCATCCCATGAGCGTTTCTCAAATGTTCTTCTTCAGAGCGACCTTTTTTAAAGTTCATAGATATAATTTTAATGTTTTCTATTACATGAACCTTACAATTTAAACATGTTGCTTTCTTTATAAAACGTTTACATAGGGAAATTAACCAGGTCCATGGAACTGCTGGATTGTTACATCTGATGATTAAAGAATACCTGGATATGAACTTTGTCAAAGCTAATTATATGGCATACTTTTGTCTGGGTGGGGCTCGTAAAGCAGCTTTATCACAGATACCTTCTAGTGTACTTAAAGTGCATCCCTAGAAAATACAAAGTACAGCACAGTGCACAGTTATGTACTGGAATTGGAAGCTTACTTCTTGGGGGGGGGAAGAACTTGTGCAACTCATATATATGTATGCATATATATATATATATACATTAACTGCTTTGCTGGACACCAGTATAAAAGAGGCCATGTTGGCCAAATTTATCTCCCAATACCATCCTACTGGTTTCTCCCAGGTAGGAAAGGGATTATCACATTCTCATCGGCAGACTTCAACAGTTTCCTCTGTTGATGAAATACAGATGTCATTTCAAATAACGTGCACACTTAAGTGCAGCTGTCTCCAATGGGTAAGGATATTTGCTGGTACTTTGGTGCAGGAACATGCTTAGTTGGTTGCTCAGGTTTCTGCACAGGCAGTGCTGCAACAAAGTGGAAAAGAATTACCTAACACTGTGTAATGGGCTGATGTGCCGGTTAATTTGTGCTAACTAGCATTTTGAGAGCTGCTCTTCTGGTTTCCCCCTCTCACACATGGGCTATTTTAAAGCTTCATCTTGTTACAGAAGAGCTTTTTTTTTTTTCCCCAAACCATCGTGGAACCTCTCAAGAGCACTTTTTGGTCAATATAGCACCCACCATTCTCAACTCTATAAATAGCTGCTACAAATAATGGTTGCTGCTGTCTTCCAGAAGTGCCCTGTCACCGATGATGGGGGTAAGGTCTTCCCAAATCCAGCTGTCAGCATTCATGCGACGGTTGAAACTCTTTCCCTCTTCAGTCTCTTCCTTATAAAAGTCATTATCGCCCCCATGGGTACGCACATGGTGGATGATGCCACCAGCAGCCCGATCACCGCGAGGGCGTAGCCGGGGTAATCCTTGGTCACCAGCTGCCCCTGCAAGGGAGAGAAGCAGTGTTGGATCTGTGGGATCCATGGTTTTGGGAGTCCTGGAGTCAGGTCAGGAGCAAAGCTGGGCACATGGATCTAACTGGGACATCTGAGAAGCACTTTCTGGCTGTGCCAGCCCACAGCTGCCCTCAGCGCTGTTCTTTGCCCAACCACCCTGAAAACTGACAAGAAGAACAGAGCTGCTGACAACAGGATTGGGAGAAACTTCTGCAAGCTTTGGTAAAGAGCGGATTTTGGCTTGATTTGTGTTTCTTAATGAGGTGGCTGGGCCCTGACCTCTGTCAGGCCTCCGAGTTCCTCTCCTGGAGCTTGTGGGCTCATGCTGACACCCAGTCAACAGGCCAGGCCCGCCATGGGTCCTTAATTGTTTTTGTGTCGTGGCCAATTATGAATTTTGTTTCTGCACGATGGGAGCATTTCCATGAAAGGTTACGGAACCGGTGATTACTTATCCAATAGTAATTACTCTGTGAAAAATACGCAGTTGAGTAGTTGTACAAAAGTGTTCTGGCCGTGAGGAAAAATGTATGTGGAAATAATGAAAACTATTCCAGCAGCAGTTCGGTTCTGTTTAAATACCACTAATTTTGTTCAAAACAATACACTTTGAAAGAAGGTTTTTTTTTGTTTAAAGTGGTTTTTTAAAGATGATATTCGGGTCTTCAACATTAATAAAGTTTTACTGTATGAAGTGGTCGATTAAGAATCAGAGGGATATTAGTTGATTTTACAGAATCATTGCATCATCATTAAGTCAAGTTTTCCTTGTTTTTCCTTTCCACATATTTAAGGGTTGGCCCTCGCTCTAGCTGCGAGCTTTCCAGTTTTGTGGAACAGTTTAGTTAGGAAGGAGGGCTGTATCCTTGCAGGAACTAGGGAAAGTTTATAAAAAACAAAAACCCCCAAGCCCAAAGCTATTTTACCTGTGTGGCATCCCACGCTTGGTATTGCAAGGTTCCTGTGAGGATATAGTCGGTGAGGTAAAATATAAATAGGCTTACAATTAGCAGAGGACTAACAAAGGCCCACATAATTTTCCAATACCAGTTTGGCTTGCGTCCAATCATGGTGTAAAGATCTTTCTCAAATCTGTGTTTAAAAAAAGAAAACATATTTTTGAGAACAGCTGCATGTGTTCAATCAATACCTCCTTCTGAGTTACTTCAAAACCACATGCAGAATTTCATGTGAGATGAGAAAGGGGACTAAAGTTCACCACAAATGAGCAGAGAGGCATTGTCTGAAGAAGGGCTTGTTAGGGCTCACCAGAATCATGGTGAGGGTGAAATCAGAACAGATTGTGGGACTTGCAAGAGAAGCCCAAACTGCAGAGAGTAGCGAGAAATAGGTACAGCAAGAAAAGTTCTGGCTGGAATATAAGTTCAGGGTGTTTCTGGTGTCAGCTGACAGAGAAAAGCAATGATGCTCAAGTACTGTGGAGGAAACTCTGCTAGGTTTTGTGTAGTTGAGTTGTTCTCACTGCTGTCTTTGAGGAAGTACAATTATGGGACTTGTACCTGAAATCTCACAGGAGACCTGAATCTGACTGGAAGGCTTTGAACTCATCAAGGACACAATACCCGTGAAGGTGCCTGTGCACCTACTGCGCTGGCAGACTAACAAAGAAAATGCTGAAGCCTTTTCCTTTAGGTGCCATGAACACAAACACCTCTGCTGTTCAAAACCCTTCCTGATGCCAAAGCTTCCTTTTGCCCACAAGGGATGACTTGGGACACCAGCCATCTGTGAGGTGACCACCTCTGAAACCAGACTTACTGGCACTGTTGTGCTCATGCTGAACTACTGTCGCGGGAGGAGCAGAGTTTTGGCAGAAGGTGCTCTTGAGACCACAGACCAGAGCAGGGAGTGGGTGTGTACAGCTCATTAGCACTCCCCTGCCAGCAGAGGTGGTGTCAGCCCAGCCTGGCTCCTGTGCAGCCCTGAATCAAGGCCCTGGAAGGGGCCTTGCAGGGCAGGGGAGACCCCATCGCCCTGCTGATACTGTAGCATAAGAGAAACATACAGCCCAGGGCAGTATTTTTATTCTTGGCCCTGCATGTCTTGGCTCATGGCCACTCCCCCTGCTAGCCCACTGTAAAGAAAGGAGGATTCAAGCTTTTACCTTCTTATCCCATAGATGTAACACACAGCAATGGTTTCTACCAGCACGATGAGCAGCAGAGAGAGGGTGGCTGCGTAGTCGTTGAATATGTCAAACCAGTAATTTCCAGCCTCCATGGTGAAGATCAGGCCAATCACACAGTTAATGAAACACACAGCGCCTGCGTGGATAACAGAGGGACCCTGCCATTACACCTGGAAGTCTAATTGGGTGTGGGAAATGTCATACTCCTTGTGACTAAAAAGCTGGTAGAATTTCTGCTGAGCAGCCTTCTCTGAGGAGAAGGATAATTTCCCTTACGGAAAAGATCTGTCTCTTTCCATGTGTGACTGTGCTGGTGTGTCCTTAAACTGCTCCTCAGACCTGCATAGTCACAGGATATCACTCCAGACAACGAAGTCTTGGCTATAGCCTTGTCACGTGTGCATGCATTATCTGGTGTTGCCACTGAGCATCCTGCTAAAACAGGTTTTAAGGAGGGACAACTGATTTCTGTGCCTGAACAGGAGCACATACTACTTTTGGCCAAAGACAGGTGTTGGGATACTGGTGATGTGAGTGAAGAGCTCCTTACTGCAAGTCTCTTGGCACCTGTACTGTCTCTTTGAGTTTCACCAGTCAGTAGACACCAGTATGAAGGAGCCCCAAGGGGTGTGTTGGGGAGCCTGTAAATACACAGCCACAATAGCCCTAGCGCTGTGGGAGCTCCGGAGGGGAAGTGCTTCAAAGGCTGGGGCAGGATTTCACAAAGGCAGGCAAACCTTTCCAGCAGGACATTTACTATTCCCTGCTCCACTCAAGGTGAGAGGGGGACCCTCAGTGGCAGTGGGGCACCGAAGCCTTTGCACTCGCACACGCACTGTGTGTGGCCTACGCTGTGACGCGGCGGGCGCTTACCCGAGATCACCTCCTTGCGGAAGCGGGCGCCGATGATTTTGCTGTCGGTCAGCGGTGTGAGGATGGCAGCCGTGTTCCCCAGCATGCTGCCGATGCCCAGCATCAGCAGCATGAAGAAGTAGAGCACAGAGTACAGCTGGGGCACCTCCATGTTTTTGATCGCTTCCGAGTAGACTATAAATGCCAGTCCCGTCCCCTGGACAGCCTGTCAGAGAAAAGGGGAGAAAAATGAGTTATGGGCAGCTCCTCATCCTTGATAAAAGACATGAGATGGGCACGAGAGCGTGACTCTGTGTCGTGACAAGGTACATGTGCAGTGGTGGTTGTGCACAGCAAAAGCAGATGAGATTCTTGCCAGTTTATCCAAACTGCACAGACACTGGCGTAGTGCCGTTGGAGCAAAAAAGCATTTACCCCAAATCTTTGTGACCCGCCCTGTTCCACCACCAGAGCCAGCAGTCCGACTGCACTGCCACCCAGCTCAGCTGCCAACCACCCAGGCGAGCCCCCTGCCCCATCCCGAGGGATAGAAGTGATCCCCAGCCCTGGTCAGGCACTCGGATGTGCTCGCATGGGGCTGCCCGGGCTCAGTGGGAGGAGAGGAGACAGCACGAAGCGGCAACTCACCGTGTCTAGCTCAGCTTCTAAGCTGCAGTTTTTAATCTGAGGCGCTAACTGGGCGTATTCCTGTGGGTAGGTGGCCATGAGGTAGTCTTTCGTCTTGCTGAGGTTGTCCACTGTCAAAGAGCCTTCCTCTAGGTCAAAAGCATTCATCAGCAGCAGGATCACCCTGGGAAGGATTGCAGAAAATTTCAGGCCTAGGACACCTCACCCTCTTCTCCATCGATCCCCACATGCAGATGTCCTGCTGGCCCCAGGGATCCAGTCTCCCCAGGTGAGAACCATGGCATTTCCAGAATGGGACATGGGCGATCTTGCACTTATCTGTGCTTTGTAGGGAGCAGCTCCTGCACCCACACTGTACTCCCAGGCAGGTATTTTGGGTGCCAGCCAGTGCTGGCTGGTGTCTCTTCCCCTTTGCCCTCCAGTCTCACGTCCACACCCCATCAACTTAACGAGCCTTTTGGCAACGAGCAGGGACTAGCAGCTTGGTTTCCTCTCTGATCAGCAGATAGATTGAAAGCTCTAAAAATATGAGTAAAAGTGTAACTGCTGCAGGCCCTGTGCCAGGAACTTCATGCAAGCTTGCTGCCTCAGGGCTCCTAGGCACCTGCAGGCTCCTAGGCACCTCCAGAGCATCACAGCCGAGGAGGCTGAGCTCCTGGAACAGGGCTTAGCCTTAATAGCGGGGTGTCTGAGCATTGCTGCATTTTATTAATCAGTCCCCCCTGCTCCCCGAGACATGTGCCAGGACCAGAACACAAGGTACAGTGCCTCTGTGACTTGCCCAGGCAAACATCCTCTCAACCAGGCCCGTGCCTGGAAGCAGCACCCAGGTGTCAAAAGGCAAGTTGCTCTGACCTTTCATCTCAGGCTTCATCGCTTTAAATAGCTCCATTAGCTTTATTAGAGCGGTATCGGGTCTGCTCTTGGGGCAGTGCTGGCAGCACTGCGTCCTGTTATTTATTTACCGCCCCTCTCACCTGCCCCAGCATGGCTAGCAGTGGGAAACGAGTGGAACACCAGGCTCTTACTTGTTTATACAGCTCTCATAGTTAAACGTCGCCTTGAAGCCGTAGATGGAGAAGGTCACAATGCTGGCGAAGATGGAGGTGGTGCTGTTGATGAGCGAGACGATGATGGCATGCCTCTGGCAGTTGTTGCTGGGCTCGTTGTAGCTGGCAAAGGCGATGAGGCTGCCGAAGCCCAGGCCCAGTGAGAAGAAGATCTGCGTGGCAGCGCTGATCCACGCCTTGGGGTTCATCAGCTGCTCCAGCTGCAAAGCCAGACCCAGAGAGCGAGAGCATGAAGTTGCATATGGATTCCCAGCAATGCCCCTTCCAGCGTGCGTGGGTGGGGACAGGGATGGGTCCCTTTGTGCGCTCGTTTTAGTTCAGGGTTTTTTCGGTGCAGGGTTACTTATATGACTGAAAGTAATACAGGTTGGTTATAGGTTATGCTAATGGCCAGGTCTTTTTCTGCAGGAGAAAGCAAACAGCTTAGGGGCACCATAGCAAAGCAGCTGCCACTCCACTTTCACTCCTGGAAGCCACCAGGGTTTCCAGCTGGCTGACCTATCCTACTGCTGCAAAAATCCAATATAAGGAAGAGCATCAACACCTTTTAAAAACCTACACGTTCAGTGACAAACAACATTTAATGGAAAATTCAGTAGAGTTTTTCTGTACCTTTGGTGTGAACATGTAGACAAGCCCGTTCACAGCTCCATGAAGTGTTAATCCTCTGATGAGGTATATGATGAGAACGCAGTATGGCAAAGAGGCTGTCACATAGACGACCTGGGGAAGGAGAGGAAACATCTTGGTCTAAAGAATACATAAAGCTTAATCCACTATGGTCAGTCTCATTTACTTTACACAAATAATTTTCATTATTGTGTTTGTTCTTGTGTAATAATCTTTAAAGAAATTTTTTCAGACAAATCTAACTTTAGATTTACATTTTAGAGAAGCAAGTTTTTATTAGAAACAAAGACCTGTGCTACTGTTCCTAGGGTCTTCCCTTTGACTGGAAATCAAACAAAAGTCTAAAATGTTTGCAGCATTCACAAACTCAGTTCTGCATCATTCAGTGAAGTAACACCAGTGTGCAACTGTCTATTAAGAACTCGTTAGGCAAAGGTCATTCATCATTTGCTCTAGGAGGAAGGCAAGCAGACCTCATAAAAGGTCAACATCAAACTTGAATTGAATCAAATTGAATCAAAATTGAATTAGTTGCAACAAGTTTAAGAGGTTATTCTTAGTTTATAGTCTCTTGGCTTTCTGTGTTCGGCTAAGACGATTTGGGGATTACAGCCCTCAGCTTGCTGCTTAGTGCAGGCTCAGCCAGGACATTGGGGTTTTTCTGCCCACTTCCTCATAACTTCTGCTGTGAATAAAAGGCAAGCAAAACATGCCCGGTAGATGTCTTTTTTTTTCTTGCAAAGACCAAGGAATAGACGTCTCCTGACATGGCTCTGCAGTGGCAGACAGCTTTCCTCATGGCCAGCAGCCTGGCGACTGGTTTTGCTGCATTTACAGGACTTTTCTGGTTTATTTTTTCAGTATCACTCCGTGCTTCGGTTGATCCTGCTTGAATTGCAACTTGATAGGGCAGCGGAGCTTGGTGCTCCGGGAGAGGTGCCGTGACCCCAGGTGGCAGCAGCCACGGCCACTGCTCTGGGCTCTCATTTGCCCTCCCCACATCCTGCCCAGTCTGGGCAGGGCTGTGCCCACCTCTCACCTTGCCGGTGGAGGCGGTGCCGCGGAGGATGCAGAGGTAAACCACCAGCCAGGCCAGCGTCAGGCAGAGCGCCTGCTCCCACTGCACGCTCCCGCTGGCCTCCAGCGACGGGGAGATGTTCAGGGTCTGCCGGTACCAGAAGTACTGGGTGGACGATGTCCTCTCACACTCCTCGTCGTAGCCCGTGCGGTTGCTGTTGAGGGGGCAGGTGGCCCATGGCAGGGGGTCCTAGGAGAGAGGAGGGACGTGGAGTCAGCATGGCAGGGAGAGCTGAGGTGCCGGGGAGGGATGGAGAGGATGATGGCAAGGGTGGCTTTCTGCCTGGGGCTTGCTTGTCTCTGCACGGTGCTGCCTGGGGTGGGCGATTACTGTCTCCCCTAGGGATGATCTCTTCTGACACTTTTCCCTGGGAATGACCCTCTGCCCAAGGACTGATTTGTTTTGATCCTCTCCCATGGGGATGAGTCTTTCTGACCCTCTCCCCAGGGACAGATCTGCTCTGTCTTTCTTCCCTGGGGATGACCAGACTGATTCTCTTCCTGAGGACTGAGCCTCTTTAACCCTCTCCCCCGGCAATGACGCTCTCCACTGGTCTCCCCCAGGGCCAATCCTCTCCCATTCCGTCAGACAGACCCATCCTAGGATGCAGGACACCCCGGCCATCAATGCATCACAGAGTTTGACCTGTTTGACCTGTGATTCGTGGCGAGAAGACAACATCCAACACCCCTGGGAGAGCCCGTGGAGGGGGACACCACTGCCTCACTCTTCCCTCCAGAAAAGCCCTGGGTAGGTTTTATGGAGCTTTTGCCACTCCTCCACCTCTGCTCTCCAGCTGATGATGGTGCCATGCAACATCCAGCATCAATGCAAAGCCACCATGACCCTCCACGGCCACAGTGGGGCCAAACTGAGCTGTTGAGTGCCCACACACCTGGAAGGAGTGGAAGAGGTACCAGAAGGCCCAGGCGTTTATCACGTTGTAGTACATGGAGAGGAAGAAGGAGACGACAACACTGGCAACACCTGCAGATACAGAGGGAGACACTTGGTCAGCAGCAAAACCCCAAAATGCCCAGGGTCCCATAACACCCAGGGGGTGTGGGGTGGGGGCAGCACCACCATGCCCAGTGCAGGAGGGGCTTTATCCCTGCACAGCTGTGTGCACAGAGCATGTCCCTGGCACTGCATCCACCTCTTCCTCCTCCTGCCAGGACTATCCTGCACTGGATTTTATATTTTAGGCCCTGGGGGTGAATAATCAAAGTATCATTAAAAATATATTGTGGGTGTATGCAAATTAACAGTAGCTTGGGTTATCAGAGTAATTTAATAACATAAAAAATGTAGCTAAGAAAAAACACTGGTAAATGGCAGACAGCAACAGCAATGGTAGAAAATTAAGGCACAGTTTTATTACTCCCATTGAGCTCACTGGGAAGTTGTTCTTGAAGTCAAAGCCCAGTGCAGGCAGCCCCAAGGGCTGGCATTCACACTAGGATTTTGGCAGGGTGCCCAAGGGCAGGGGGACTTACACCTCCAAGTGCAGGGACCCAACACAGCAAGTTGGGGTCTGGTCCCAGTGCCCAGCAAGGGATGGGATAAATGCCTGCCATGAGGTGTCGGCTTTGCTCAGCATGGTGAGACCCAGTAGAACCCCAGCTCCCTCCTGGTTTGTCCTCTGAAAGACAAAGCTCTCCATTCAAAAATCACCCATGTTCTCTCCATGCTGGAGAATAAAGATGAAAACTGAGAACATACCAACACCACAAAGGTAGGGGCTTATTATTTTCCAGGCGCCGATGCTGCCCTGACGCATACGCTGCCCCACAGCCAGCTCCAAGTAGAGCAGTGGCATCCCCTCGGCAATCAGCATGATAAGGTATGGGATCAAAAAGCCACCTGCAAAAAAACACCCAACAGTCAGCCTTCAGCAGTTCAACAGCAAGATAAACACCACGTGTCCCTCTTTGTGGCCAATTAATGCTGTCAGTGTCCCAGGGGCTGGCTGGGTCTGGGTCCTGTCCAGGCACCTTGTGTATTGAGGGCATGACCCAACCCCGAAGGAGATCTCACAGGGTTTCAGGTGGTGTCCCATAGGCTGGTGGGTGCTGACTGCCCGGGGACAAGGAATTTTCCGCAGGAACTTGGCAGAGCTGGCATTTCTGCTGTTAAACTGTGTTGGCCACCACTCCAGTGTGGCAGGGCTGCCCAGATGCATCACCGGCGGTTTGAGCAAAGTTGGGGGCTGGGGCTGTTAAAGGGTAACCAAACACCAGCCAAACCTTGTAAACTATAATGAGAGAAAGAGGACAAGGAAAAGATTTACTTCATGTGGGGTATTTTGCGGCACAGCCAAAGTGCTCAAAAAAAAAGGAACAGCAACGTCCATCTTGAATGGAGAGTTTTGAGTTACATATTGAGATCTGGCCTGGCTTAAAAAAACACAAACAAACAAACAAAAAAAAAGCAAACCAAAAAGCTCCCAAAACCCCATGCTGGGCCCACAGGCACCAGCAAAGGGATGAAGGCTCTTCCCCCAGGGTCCCAATCTGCAGGAACAGACTCTGGGATGGGAGTCAGAGTTTCCTCCTGTGTGGGGCTGCTCATCCCTACTTCTTCCCCACATGAAGAGCCACAGGGAATTCCATGCTCCTGTGGAAGAGGAGCAGCAGGAATGGGAAGGTTGACAATGAAGGAGGTGAAAGGACCTTCCCACCTGGCAACCAGGATGTGCTTTGGCTTAAATTTCTGCCAAAAAAAAAAAGAAAATCCTTGTACTTGAGTTGGGGCTCACTTCAGAAAGAGCTGCTGACTGAGTCAAAAGCTGTATTTTTGGGAAGGCTTCCCTGCTTCCCTTTTTACAGCAAGCCAAAATATTTACGTAAATATCTCTTATTCAGTATTTAATCTGTGGCATTAACATTCCTTGCAATGGGGTCTGTGCAGTGCTGTGGAGGAATGAACTCCAGGCAGCGACTGAGGAAAAGAACTGGAAATAAACACAGAGCAATAATCCGGTTTATTCTGGGAATTAATTTCCCACCTCCCAGCTCTCTTGTTATTAACAACCCCTTTGTTACCCTGTTAGATAACTTCCTATGCCACAAGGGAGCTGCTGGAGGTTTAAGAGCTCCCACAGCTGCTCTGTGCCGGCAGGGTGCGAGCTGCCCCAGCAGCCACCGAGGAGAGTTTTGCCATGTACCACAGAGGGAGTCAGCATTAGACCCTCTGTGAAGGCTCTTCCGCTCTCCCAGCAGTGCTTCCACATGCTTGGCATTGACTTCACCACCTGGCAAGCAGCAGGAATGTCTTCAGGCTTGCTCTTCACCCCAATGTCCCCCTGCAGCCGGGAGTGCCAGGGCTAAGCCCCCTGCCCCTTGCTCTGCACCCTGTTTGCATGCAGATCTTGCTAACTTGCCAACCCTACTTTCCTAAAGGGTAGAACCACACTGCCTCATACAAGTGACTCAGTGCAGCTGTATGAACCGACTCCTTATTTGCTGTGACTCAGAACAGCAAAAACCAGACCACAGGCCAGATCCCTGCAGTTGGAAAAACACGGAATGTGCCCTAGGCCTGCTCAAGGCACTGGACTTGTCCAGCAGCACCCTCGCCTCTGCTCAGCGTCCTGCTGCAGACCCATCCCAGTCTCGTTTCAGCCTGGCCCAGCCTGCTTAGGGACAGAATAACTGCACCCATGAGGTTTAACCCCCCCTGCTCTGCTCAGGCCAAGCTCTATGGAGGAGAGCAGGGAGAAGGAGGCAATCTGCTGATGAACAGAAAGGCAGGTTATAAAGTCTGCAAATTATCAGTATTGTACGTGATAAGGGCCCTATTGCTCTGTTGGGCAGGACAGGAACTGGCTCTGTGCTTTTCTAAAAGGAAGATGCCAAATAAGCTGATGCCCCCCTTATCCAGCTTTTAAGCTCCTGAAATGATGTTCTGTCTGCGTGGTTTTTGTGGACCCCTGGAAAGCCACAGAATCCTCTTTAAGAGGGCAGTGAAAAGAAGAATTAAGAAAAGCAAAACCTCCTGTCAGGAGTTTTAGTTTCACAGTAAAAAGAGCTGCCTTTCCCTATGTAAATTTGACTGGGGAAGAGAGAAATAATGGAGAGTATAATGGAAAATAATGGAAAAATATTCTTATAAAAACATGCTTTTTAAAAAATACTTGGGTTTATCACAGAATCATACAACAGTTTCAGTTGGAAGGGACCTTTTAGAGGTCATCTAGTCTAACACCCTGCAACAAACAGGGAAGTTTATTTAATCTTATTTCGAGTTAGTCAAGTGTTCCAGTTTTGGTTACATTTCAGAGAATTTTTACTATCCACTGCAATACAGATGGCTGGTCAAAAGAACCACAGAAATCCCCCCACAACGTCCCAAGTTTTGCCGTCCTTCAGGATGTCTGCCAAGATAGGCTGCTAGCAAAGTAATCACGTGCAGTTTAATTGCGTATGGAAACGCTCGCATTTTAAGCTTTGTGCTAGAGTTCAGTGTCAGACATGAAGTCGTTACCCTTAAAGCATGGGCGGAGGAATACAGGCAGAACTACAGCACATCTATCATTCCTGCTATCTGAACCACCTAAAAAAGCTTCAGCCACTGCAGCATCTATCTTCTACTGTAACTTCACCTATTGTATTACTTGGATTTTTCTGACCTGATCCCACAGGACAGCTCTGACGCAGTCTCAGCACTGAGCTGGCTTTTCAAAAACCAGCATGAACCAACCCCTACCGCCACACATCCATTTAGAAGTTTACAAGCCAACAAAACAAGCATAAGTGAAGTAAAAAGCACTTAAACATCTCAGTATGTTTCTTCCTGAAAGGAAAAAAAAGATAGAAGCAGACCGAAGGTAGATGAGGCAGATGCTCAACATGTCCCTTACTGCAAGGCTGAGGAGAGTCCAACACTGTGATAACAGATGCCGTGAGAAGAATATAAAACTTGGATGTCTTATAAAGAGAGATTCTTCATAAGGATTCTTCAACACAGTGGTAGCTGTATATTAGAGATTATTGGTGTTGGTCTTTCATTAATCTAATTAACTGACTTTTGATTTCTAAGGAAGAACATCTGTGGCTGGTATATGATAAGGACATCATTTTTCTTCTGTTCGGACCCAGGAGAAGGATAAAGTTTCAAAGAGCTTTTTTTTTTTTTTCTTGAGCCCAAATCAATGTATTCTCTATTTTCAAAGGTGCCCAGGAGGCTTTAGCTTTGGAACTACTGTTGATTAAAGTGTCTCAGCCAACTTCAAGGCAGATTTCCAACCAAGTTATCATCACCTAAAGTTAGGCTTTGTATAAAAGACAAAACATTAATGACAGAAATTTGAAATTATACATCTGATCCTTAAATTAAATCACCATAAGCATCTCCCCTTCTCAATATGTTCCAAGTCCACACATGTGAACATACAAAGAACTCGTTTCTGATAACTTCAGACAGGTTCAGTGGGACAAAAAAGTAATAGATTAATACCATGTAGACCTGTATCTCTCACTCTATCTCCACACTTTTAGAAAACATGGGCCTTTCCACTGCTTCACTGCACTTCTAGGAAACAAGTGCCACTGTACTGGGGCAGCTGTCAGGTAAAAGCCTAATGTTGAAGAATACATAAAGCCGCAATGAGACAGGTTGCACACTGACAGAAAGCCAGACGTCCTACTCTGCCCTGGACCCTGCTGGGTGAACAGGGCATTAGTGTGGACAACATACTTCTGGACTTAAAGCTTGCCACACTCCTCCTCGAGGGAAGCAAGAAACATAAATCACACTTACCTCCTCCATACATCTGACAGAGGTAGGGAAACCTCCATACATTTCCCAGTCCCACGGCATAGGAAATGCACGCGAAAATAAACTGCAGGGGATTGTCCCATAGCGGCCGGGATTTCTCCATTGCCTGCCTGTAGGCAGAGGTTTCAGCAGAGCCTTCCTGCCTTCACTCCCTCAGGTACTCTGCCAACCCTGCCTCACACTCCACGCCAGTCCGGCTTGGAGGGGAGGGAAAGGCGGAGGAGCTATGCTTGCCAATTCCTATCAAGCTTTTTAATTACTAATCTTATTAACAGGCACATACTGAAGTAGGAATGCTGGTAAATAGATTATAGACACACAGAGAACTATAAAATTGGTACTTTGGGTAAATAGCTGCTTGGGTTTTGACTGGCACTTCTGGGAAGGATGTGAGCTGGGGGATTTTTATCGACTCACATGCCAACTTGACACTACGAGGAAATAACAGTGGGGCTGCAGTCTGGTTTTGGAAATGGGACTCTCCTTCTCCACAGGGATCTCTTCCCTATGAATGGCATTCATGTGCATGAGGTACCAGCTTAAATTCCATAGCACACCATTAGGACTGGCTTTAGTGACTGTCAGAGCTGACTTCTAGGGCAAGGGATGCCAGGAATAAAGGGGTCCTCAGACATCCCATCACTTGTGATCCAGTGCTCACCCCAACCAGTCCAGCACACTGCCCAGTTCCAAAAGTTGCCTTGAAACAGTCCCCATCGGCCACACAGGTCCCCAGCACTCTGCACACTTGAGTACAACACTCAAGTTTGACCCTCCAGCAATATTACCCTCCCTCTACATATTCTCTGCATGCGTGTGACAGTGTGAAATACCCCAGTCTCTTTTCACTTACCTTCGTGCTCAAACCCCACTGCTGCAGACGAACTTTTCTGAGGGGTTGCTGTTTTAAAATACTTTTAAGCAGGAGGGACCAAATATATACAAAGGCCACTGGGAAAAGGTGTTGGTAGCCCACCATGGAGGAAGAAGAGTCCAGGAGGCCTTTGGGTCGTCTGAAGGCACAGTGGGGTGCCAGGTCTGAACATGAACCCTCTGTGTTTGGGCCCCTGCCAAGGTACTCATTCAGCTCAATCAATTTAGACAGGTCTCCCACAGAAGGAGGCTGCCAGCAGCATCTCTAGCAATAAAAAGGGGCTGAACAACTCCAAGCACTCGGTTTCTTTCCTCTGCTTAAATGGGGTTTTTCCACGGCACCTTTCAGGACCATTTTACGAGTAAGACTCGCTCAACGGCTGGCAGTCTCATTCCTCCTGCACCAGGAATTTGCTCCCTGCCAGTGCTGTGTGTGCTGCTCCAGCATCCCATCAGGCACCGGCTGAGCCAAGTGCCAGCTGTAAGTACAGGTGAGAACCCCCCACCATGGGGCCTTTGGACACGAGCCCAAAGCGCAGAGTGCGTCGTGCAGTGCTGTCGAGCCCAGCAGAACCACTCCGGTGGATGTGCTGACCAGCCACCTGCAGCAGCAAAGTCACAAAGTGGGACACCACTTTTCTGCCTGCTTGAAAAGGTGACTGCTGCTTTTAGATCCATAAGCTATTAAAACTGAAAGACACACACTGAGAAGCTACAGATACATAAGTTGTCCCAAATCATGAAAACTTCTGCAAATTATTAAAAAGTTAAATGCCTGTCACTGCCAGTGGGATTTATTATAAATGATGTTTATAAATAGCTTACAGAATTAAGTAATTTGCTGACAGGACAGCATTAAAAAATAGCACATCACTAGCACTTGGGATGCTTCTGTGTGAATGGATTACTCCTACTGATGAGAATCATCAAGTTAAAGATTTACCTTGGCTCTGTACCTCCTTCCCACTACATTTCAAACTAGTTTACTAATGGACTGCAGGAGATCGTGCAGGCAGAGAGGTGTGGTGTCCTCATCTCAGGTCAGGCCAGATCAGGAAGTTCAGATGGAATGAGATGAATCTTTGTGTTTCTCACAAACGTCAGTCTCATCAGCAGCCCAGATCACAAACTACTCTGAGTTTTTTTAAAGGTGATCATGCACACAGGCACCCAGTAGAGTGCCTGTCATCTACTGGCTCCTTGAAAGATAGGCTTTAAGTATATTTAAAGGTATTTAAACAGTCAACACTAAGGAATTCTTGCTGTAGGACCTTCCATACACACCTCAGATAATCAATATGCTATTTCTCATACTGTTCAAGATTTTTTCTCCTTTGAACTTCCTTCATTTGGGTTGGGGAAGGACTTGGGCTTCATCCTCAGGGACAAAGACAAGCCTCTAATAGACATACACAAGAACTTTTGATCATTTCACTGCTCATGTTAAAGGAGGATTAGAAACAGTTTTGCCCCCCAGTACCTAACAGATTTGAAATGTGGGGCTTGGGAGAGTGGTTGAGAAGAAGGGCAGGGGTTCATCTCCACAGGGACTGATGAGACTGCCCATGAGAACTGCCCTATGTAAACCTAGTCAGAAGCTGATAAACAAAGCAGAGAATCCCATTCCTCACTGAAGCAAAACTGCAAGTACTTAGGCAAAGGTGCAAACTAAAAATCCTGGGCTTGTATCTCTTGATGCCAAGAGTACTTACAGTACTTCTTACTGCTACAGTAAGAAGCCAAGTGCCTCTCCAGCTACCTAAAATGCAGACAAAAAGGGAGTCTGAGGTCCTAGCAACAGGTTGAGGATGGTGCTTTGAGGGTGTGAGAGAAGCTTAACAGTCCTATTGCTGAAAGAGAGGGAAACAAGGGAGGAAGGAATTCTACCAGGTAGCCTGGACCTTACTGTTCTACTTCCAACATGTAGCACTATGCCCTCTAGATTTAAAAATAAACCCTCTGGGCTTTCTTCAATGAGGCAGACATGTGGAAGGGAGACAAAGTGTCTGCAGCTCTGGTGTTTAAGATCTGCTTTTCCTGGAGGCACTTGCCTCCAAATGGAAACATGGTGTCTGCTAGCATATCAGATGATTATCAAACACAAGCCACCAAAGTCTCTAGAGCCTCTGCAAATGTTTACTGATACTGTCAAAGGAAGCAGATACACAGCCAAGCGAGTAGCAGCTTTCACATATGGTTTTTCTGTTGGGATTCACTGTTCACAGTTGCTACTCTAAGCCTCATGTTTCCTTACTTTAGGAGAAAGAAAGAATCCATCTGGATTTCCAGATCTTCGAGAACTCACAGGCCATGATAACTGTTGGGCAATTGCTCTGTGTGCAATTGGAGATTACAGTTACTCCTTTAAGCAGTTATCAGAATTGCAATTATTCCTTCCAATTAATCACTACTACTTGTTGCTTAGTTCCAAACTGTAGACGATGCCCTTAAGGTCTGTACCCTAAAGTCATATCCAACCTCTTCATCACCCTTAAAACTGTTTCACATCACGTCAGCCTCCCAAGAAAAGCACTCCTGAGAAGGGTCTTTCTAATTTCCTTGCTTTTGTTTAGCACCACAGCTCTATTCACCTTCTGACTGTGATCTTTCAGGGTACTCAGTGCAGTTCCGATTCAGAGAATTGCACCTAATTCACTCAGACCTTAGAACTGGCCTGTGTAAAACGAGTCACAAACTGGTACCTCACTTAAAAAAAAAAAAAAGATATTTGGCCTATTCAGTCTGCCAGTTCCTGCAGTCTCTGTCAAAGCTTGCCTGCAGTCCGGGGAGGTCTCCGGGCAGATTCCTTTGTTCACCAGCAGCTGTCAGTCGTGAGCTGCCCTGCCCGAGTCCTGCACCAACCACGCAGCATCACCGTGGCTTACCACGGACACTCCAAGACATTACAGGTTCCTAAAAATAATAATTAAAAAATAATTAATGGACGAAATTCTCTAGATATTGAGACTGCTGAAACTAAGAATGACATGTATCTACCCACCTTTATTTGGAGAAGAGTTGACTCCAAATTAGGCTGCCTAACATTTCAGGATATATACAAAAGCAGGGCACATCTACATGCTTTCAGAGAGAGTCTGCAGGCAGCCAGAGCAGGGCAGGAATCCTGGGCCAATACTTTCACAAGGTAACTCCCTGGGCACCTTCTCAGCTCAAAGTCAGTTACAATAATAATTTCAATAACAATTTTTACCTGCTCACATAAAAACTTAGCTTCAAATTAAATTGTTTTTAACATGTTTCAGAAGGCACATCCTCCTAGAATAGATCAAAATTTTTAAGCTTGATCCATTCAGCCATCTGACACTGTAAGATGATTCTCATTTGCTTCCCAAGGCAGTAAGTCACTTCACCGTGGTCTGACAGAAGCCAAGAGCTGACCTCAATAATGCCAGAAAAGGGAAATCAAACTAAAGAATCTTACGAACCTTTTGGCTGGATTGAAATGTAAGTGCCTGACAGATGACTGGGTTTCCCAAAGGTAAGGTATGTGTGAAATGTCCAAACAGCAGCTGTCCTTAACATTAGTCTATCAAATAAAAAGGTGAACTTGCAGATTGTCAATACATATTAGTATTCATCTTAGGACATTTTAAAAAATGGCTATTATCCACAAGAGAAAAACAGACTAATGAGTAATTGAAGAACAGTTAAAGATCATCAGGTAATATATGGTCTCATGAAGAAAATGCTGGTTCATTTATTAAACCACCAGCAGTCGCTGTCAGTGCATAGCATTGTTTGTTGGCTCAGATGCAACACTAGTGAAGCTAAGCTGCTTGAATCTCATTCCCATAAAAAGTATTCTTCAGTCTGCAAGCAAAAATAAAACCCAACCAACAAAACAAACAAACAAAAAAATGCAAACCCCACAGTTTTGAAAGAGATTTGATTCCTGCAGACCAGTCAGTTATAGAGAAATTTTCTTTTTAAACATTCCCTTCAGGCATAACTAGGGACTTAACAACTGAAGTGGAAGAAATGGATGATGTCTACTTGAGCAGTACAAGGCGCAAAGGCTGGTAAAAGCAGTATTAGAATTTACACCTCAGGGAAGGAAGTGAAGTTTTAGAATCTGTCAGGAGAGATTCAGATGTCATCTACATCTTCAAAATATGGTACTTATCTCAACAAAAAGAGAACTGCTACTGTATAATGCTCCAGGTCTTCTTTGACAGGAACATCATCTGTCAAAGACCGTGCGTTTTCCACCAAGAGCTCCACACAAGCCCTTTAATTAGCCATTCTGCAACACAAAACAATGTGAGCATCACAGTGATCTCATACTCGCTAAACTAGCAATCTGCAAGGCAGGAAATCAAAGGCAGTGTTTCAATTTTGCACTGCACAGCTCTCTACGAGATTTGCCTTGTTTGAGGAGATAACAAAGTCTGTAACAGTGTTTGTCTACAGGCAACTTATTTCACTGAGACCTAGCCATATACTGGAGTAGACAGTCCTCTTTCTTTTTGAGAGGGTTTCTAAGCAGATAATGAAGGCCTATCACAGAGTCAATATTCCAGCTAAATCATCAGTTAAAAATTTATCAGAAAAGAAGAGCAGCAGAAGAATCTCTGTTTTTCTTCACCTTTTACCTCCTCTTTTAGAAACAGTAACTGTTTCTCATTAAAATGAGTGTTACTACAAAATAAAACCCCACAATATTCACCCAGGAAAGTACTCCTGTTGCTCTGAGCAAACACAAGCCAGAAAGCTCTTTGGTACATCCCTATTAAGAACTTACCTTTTTAGATGACTGTACAAGGAGCAAAATAAGACCTTTCATTAACTTGATTGCCACTGCATGAAGAGTAGGTCACCCAATAATGCCCCATTATCGTGCTACAGCAATAATATCATGCTACAGACACAGGACTTCATCCCAAAGCAATCTTGCTTAACCAGTGGGGGGGGGAAAGGACAGGAGAACTTATATAAACCATGAGAACTCAAACTGAGAGAAAACAGGAGAACTTAGACTGCAAGTGTATGGCAGATTTGAACGGGGCATCATTGCTTGAGCAATTTTAAAGCCTTTCTCATTTGAGAAAGAATGAAGAAAAATGATCCATTTCATTTCAAGCAGCTCCCGAGACAAGCACTGTTAAATGCCAGTTTCTGTGACGCAACCACCCCAGCCACTTCCCAGCCTTGCCACTGGTACACTGCTTTACAGCTGTTTGATGTGGTGTATCTTTGAGAATGAATCTGTAATTTACATGTTCTAATTTCTAGCAAGATTCTTTACTGATCTGCCACCCATTCCTACAGATATAAAAAAAATGGCTATACAAAACATTCCTATTAAAAAACCCAGCTCCTTAAAGATTAAATGTTTGAAAACAGAATAGTTTTATTTGGAGTAAAATACAACATACACATGAACAGGGACAGATGAACACGTAGAATGCACTAATAAGAGGCTGACAAATAAATACAAGGCAGAGAGTTACAAGTAGAAGACTTGAGAGAAGTAAGCTGTTTTCTGATGAGGTTACGTTAAGAAAGGAGATGAAAATATCTAAAATAACTCATTTCTCAAAAAAGTTTCTCCATTAATTTTCCTATGAGTTTTCCGATTATCATCTCAATGCTAAGAATACTGGCAAAATCAGAATCTGTCTTCCAGTGCTCAAATTTGTTTCAGATCAATTCAACTTAAAAAGCATTAACTTCAGTTAGTGGTTTTATTTGAAAGGGCCAGCGCTTCAGCTATAAAGCATATTTACCTCACTAGCTCATGAACATCCTCTAGAAAAATGCTAGTGACCACATTTTTCTGAGGTATGACATGTCCAGTGTGAAATAACATTACAGAATCTCCGTGTTTCTTTTTTTTTCTTCCTACTTTTTACTTCCACTGACGCAATTTTTACATATAATGCTACTTCATGACTACACTAACTACACAAAAGTAACAACTGGAGTTTCCACCTCAGAGACATAAAAATCCCTAATACTCACTTTTTTTTTCCTTTTTTTTTTTCTTTTCTTAACAAAAATAAACTCCTTTCTTTGTAGGGAATGTTCTCAGTTCTTCAGTAAGATCCTGTTAGTTATTTCTCAAGAAATGTTGATGGTTAAGGATTAAAAACACAACTGCAGAAACTAATACCTATAAATTGTAGGTTTATAAGGATGTAAGATGGGAGTTTCAGCATGTTATTAGTATTAATAGTTATTTTCATCATTAGAAGCAAAAAATATACCACTCAAAACAAAGATTATTGAAATATAATACCAGTCTACATTTTCTTTCCATGGCAGCTTTTGATACATCAGATGTTTTTTGGTATTTCAGTCCTCTGACTCATATCTGAGGATAAAAAAAAAAAATAGAAAAATAATTAAAACAGAGCAGAAAATACCCTAGAGTTATTTTGCCTCTAAAGAAAAAATGAAACCCAAGTAATTAATTGCACTCAATAGTGCCACATTTCTGTCAAGAATCATTGTGTGACTTAGGGCACAGAGAGATGCATATACTTTTTAGACTATTTTCTCCTTTAAAAACTGGCCAGTTTACCAAATATTAGAATGAAGGAATGACCTACCCAAAAATCCAAACAATTGCCAAAGCATCCGGAACATCTGCCATCTGCATCTCTCTTGTAGCACCCAAGGGCTTATCCACCACATACATGAATATCCTGTATCCTCTGCATATTCTCTCATTACTCTCTACATGGTAGCTGCTCTTGCACAGATCAGTCCTATTCACGTAACATCCACTAAAAGGACTGGCTTCTCAAAAATCAGGGAATAGACCTCCCAAGAAATTCTTTTTAAGGGAAAATTTATAGACTGTTTTAGAGACAGATTCACATTTATACAACAAAACGGGAGCAGAACATGGATCCAGAACAAGGATCCTGTTTAGACAAACAGGACAGATCACTTACTTGGAAAGTCTTCTACGCAGATCCTTTATCTGTTCGTTCTTCTTAGTGAGAATCTCTTTCATGTTGCGATAGGCAGCTGTTTGCTGAAATTTCTTCTCCAGTTCCTACATCATAACAATATCAACATATTATTTACATATTATGAAGACCAAACTAAAATATTAAAAAAACCAACCCTATTGCTTTTCCTTCTCGAGTTTCAGAATAGTAGTTTCTGTAACTTATTCAAATTTAGATTAAGTCAGCTGGTAAATTCAAATGAGATTACTGGGACAGACAGAGAAACACAAACTTTATTTTCTAATGAAATCAGGCTAAAAGTCTTCTGAAGGCTGGGAATAGACTTTTCATTTCAAAATTTCTATGCAGACAAAATAGGCAATATTTAAGTATTCTTCTAATTATAATCATGCAGTCAGTTGTGGTTTTGCTATTTTACTTATAACGTGCTTTTCCACTGAAATAACAAAAATACACAGGCAACAGTGTGACCTGCTAAACTCTGTATCCTGTAGCGTGTGCTTGTTAAATTACTACTAATCAGTTAAAATGTGAGTAAGGATCACATCTTTACATTACAAAGAAATGCTAACCTTTTCAGCTGCAGATAGCTGATCCTGAACCTTAAGCAAGTCATGTTTTGTTGTCACCAAGTCCTCTTCCAAGAATTTTTGGTTTGCAGTAGTATCATTCAAAGTCTTCTCAAACTGGGCTTTCAAAGCTGCCACTTTATTCTCCAGTTCAGTGATATCCTGGTTTGCATTAGCCTTAGAGGGAAGAAATATTTAAAATATGCCAAATGCAAGAGAAGAAATAATTTACATTTCAAGTGCAAAAATCCACACAAAGTAGGTACACCTTAATTTTTAATAAATATGTTCACGTTATTCCTTTAAAGCCTAAATTAGCGTTTTAACTGAAAACAATGTTACCGCAATGGCTGATTTATAACTTTTTTAATAAATGCATTTTAAAGATGTTGGGAATGTCCTCTGCCAAGTTGAGATTTCAAGTTCTTCTTTAGGAATTAGGTGCAGCCACAGGATAAAGCATATTATAAGAAGTTATTTACCATACAGAAACAGTAAATTAACATTTAAGATCTGAAGGTCTACGCTACAATGTATTTTCAAAGCATTTCAAAAGCCCTTAGTGTAGCACCGGTAGGAAAGGTTGGAAGTGTTAAGGCTCATACTCTCAGTCAGGTACGAATATTGCACTGTTCTTAGATGCCTTACACAGCTGCTTGTGAAGCAACTTTCCTGTTTCCTCATGAGAAGAAATAACTCAAAACTCTTCTGGACTTCAGTTCCAGGTAACAAAACATTGTAATCACGTAACTGTTCTATGGATTTTTATTAAAAAATCAAAAACCAAACACATAACCCTCTCAGGTTTGAAAGCTCAATTTCAAACTCAGAAGTATAATGACTCAGGATGAGGCTGAACCAGCAGCACCTTAAAAAGAACAAAAAACTAAAACTAAGGAAGCTCTGTTCCTTCTTCTATGTGGAAGGTAAGATTTGAGAACAGGAACACACTGGATAATACAGAAGTACTGTACAGTACCTGTACAGAAGAAAAGCTTATTTTGAATTTTGAGCAGAGTCCAAGTCTGCAATGCTGAAAAGTACTACATTTTGTGTGTTTCAAATCAGAATAGACAGTTATCGTTTTTCTAAACAATGACATGAGTCAATTTTGCAAAAATTCTAAATCCTCAAGTCAAACTGTTCCAATGGAGCAGTGACTCTCAAATGTGACTCAAACTTTGTGAGGCCATCTATTAACTATAAATTAAAAAAAAAAAATCTGCTGAGTTGGTCCTTAAGAACTGTTGTGGTTTGTCCAAAGAGTTTAAAAACTTCTGCTTTATGAGCAACTGGATTTATATGATTTTACTGACACCTATCCTAAAAAATATGAAGTGAAATCACATAAAATTCCACATTTTCTCCAACAACTAATACTGATAATACTGTAATTGCTTAAATCAAGAAGAACATTTCAGCACTATACCCACTAGCTAGTTGCAACAACATATATATGTCTGTAAATAGAAAATGTAAGAGTTGGAGAAGAAAATGACAGATTATAGAGAGCAAATTAGGACAGGAAAGCTGAAGATAGTCAGCAGCCCTGACACTGAGGCCAACTCATTTTTAACCAGAAAAGCAGGATGAGATTTGGTTCCAATCTTTTAAAACTACAAACAGTATTATCCAGGATTTAATACACCCCTTTAATATTTTAAACCTTTAATAATTTAAGGCTTAACATAACAGAGAAAGAAAATATTTGTCATGACTGGTAAATCAAGTTCCCTATTAACTAATATTATTGAATACAGATTTTCAAAGTTACTAAGTAGACTTATAACATATTAAGAGAGCCAAGTACATACCATAAACCATTTAGAAAGCAAAATAAAAAGAAATCGGAATTAAAATATGAAACATAAAATAGAAATGTTTTATGATACTGAACCTCACTTCGAATCTGTAAATACTGTAGGAATTTTAAAGTAAATTTCTCAAAATAATGGGATTAAAGTGTAATAATTTTGTTTCAAGTCTGAACAGAAATGTTTTAAATTTAAGAAACAATCAAACATGAACAAACTTGAAAGAATTCTAATTATTGACAAAATAAAGGCACAAACTTGAAAAAATACTAAGGTGACCTGAACAGACTTATCTGTTTCAACATGACTTCAAGGATTCTTATATTTTATTTCTGCAGCAGCAACTTGCCATGTTTGAATCGTCATTTATAAAAAAGATTAAGAACCTCAAGAAGTAAAAATAAACAAGGAACCATTTTAACAGTATGCTGATATGTGTAGAACCACATAAAATCATACAAGCAGCACGTTTGCTTGTCCATGTCGACATTAAGTGTGACAAATGCTTGAAAAAATTAGTGTTGCTGTAAAACCAGGTTAGACATCCTTCTTTCAGCAGTAAATATCAAGAAATAAACTTCTGTCTGTTAATACAAATATCATCCCTGAGAATATGAATTCTGGAATACTACTTCCTGACAGTACGTGGAATAACACTTTCTAACAATAATTTATCATGGTCTATGTGACACAAAATACATGTCATAACATCAACTAATATTATGGATTATCTGCTGACTGAAAGACCAGCAGGAACAGACAATGTCAGCAGGAACATAACAAAACTAACTTGAATTTTTGCATTTGCCAGAAAAGAAACACACCATATAGAGCAACATTTTGGATGTATTGGCAACAGCTGTGTTAAACAGGGGGGGATATCTTAACTGTATTTACCTTCTGATCTCCTTGGATCATCTGTAAA